TACCAACCCATCCTTCTCTGTTTGGGTAAAGCTCAAACAAACTAGCACCATGTGGACGAACATTGTATTTCCCAATTAGTGCAAACTCGGTTCGGAACTTGAGGTAAATGTCCCTAGTGTAGGCTTGATAGGCTTGTTTCTCAATTGGGAAATCAGACCACAACTCAACCTCCAAGTGGTCTGTCCTATAGTCATTTCCGCCCTCACGGACAAGCACATGTGTCTGTATTTTCTCATACTGCTTAACAAAGTTCAACACAGAGTTGTGCGGGTTCACATAATGCTTAAGAACTGCATTAAAACCTTCGCTTCTCTGGGCAGACTGCAAGAAGGGGAAAAACCGGTGTTTGAAGTCACAAGGCACCCATGTTGCCCGGTACTCATACAGCTTCTCAAAGTGGGTTCCAGCAATAAAAGGCCACTTATCCTTGAAGCTTGTCCATTTTGTCTCAAATTCTCCTGGAGTGAAGCTAAAGTCAACTATATCATTGAAATCTTTTGACAATCCTGGGTTCCTTCCAACTAAGCCACCAAGTTTTTCCTGAGCTTTCTTCATTATGTGCCACCGACATCGACGATGCACAGAAGTAGGGAAAATGTTTTCAATGGATTGTGCCATCGCCCAATCTTGGTCAGTGATTATGTTGTCTGGTGCTAGACCATTCATTGCTTCAAGAAATGTACCAAATAACGAATCAAAACTTGTCTCTAACTCCTGCCTAACAAAGCCACACCCCAACATGAATGTCTCCCCATGACGATTTATCCCAATGAATGGAGCAAACGGCATGTTATACATGTTAGTCATGTATGTCGTGTCAAAGCATATGCAATCATGATACGCTTCTTTGTAGGCTTTTCGTGCTGGTCCATCAACCCAGAATATATTCTCAACCTTGTCTTCTGCATCATACTTGACCTTGTAGAAGAATTCTGGATCTGTCTTCTGTATATCTTTGAAATAGGCAACTGTCTCAATCATATCGCCTTCTTTAGTTGCATCCCTGTTCAAGCTTGACTTCAGGTTCGTGATGTGCTTGTCAGTATAAGGAACAATCAACTCTGTGCCATAGTAATCCGACATGATGTGCATCATTCGGCCTGCTCAAAAAAGAAAAACAAGGTTGGGCGATTTAAAACCTTCCCAATAGGAAAATGATATGCAAATAAAAACCCTAGGGGCACAAGACTCGCTGAAATGGAGACCTGCACTAGTCTTTTTTCAGGCATCTTTAGTTCAATTTTGTTTTTTTAACAGCCAACATGGCATGATATAAAACACTGGATTTTTTTAGTTGCTTGCATTTGTGACAACAGTTACCTACTCATGCTCATACTCATGCTCAAAACAGAAAAACAGAAACATCAGTAAGAAATATATCTACCTTTTCAACCAAATCTAGTTGCTTGCATTTTCTTACAACAGTTCGCTAGAAATGTTGAAAAAGACAGAGCATCAAGAACCGGCCAATAATTTGTCTACCATCCACAAATAGTCTGACTTAATAATCAGAAACTTGTGTAACTAGTTTTCGTTGCACTAATATTCCATATTGTTATCGCCTACCATATGCAAAGCAGTAAAACACTGAATCCAAGCAACTTTTTTCTAGTGGCGCCCACTCACCAGTAGTTAAGTTGCAATTATGAAGGTTTTTTAGGAACAGCTTCTCTTCTGGTGGTATGCCCTGGTGCGATCGCAAATATTTAGTCAATGAAGGTTTCTCAATCAATGGATGGTTATGCTCAGCAATAAAATAAGTGACCTCCCAACGGCCATCAATCAATTTGACTATCATCTTTGCTTTGCACCCAGTCTGTATTATCTTTTCTCTTTTCCGTTTCTTCCTCTTCTTCTTTTTGTCAGCAGCATCATCAGCAAACACAATTACATTGTCTTCTCCATCATCATCATTCCCACCATCAGCATCATCATTGTCTTCCAGCATTTCAACGCTAGGTGCGGTCACAGTACCGTGGTCATCGTTTTTGGGTTTGCGAAACTTGTTGCAAACAAACTGGTACTTGTCTATTTCGCCAGTAACAGTAGACCGTCTGGAAGTGTTCATCTTGATTGAAAAACCCACATGCTGAGCATAAGCATTATAATGTTCTCTTGCACCTTGCAAAGTGTCAAACCTTGTACCTAATGAAGGTTCCTTTGGCTGGGACCACACTTCATTATCGTTGTGAGCGTCTCCCCCTGCACCCTCATGCCCAGCAGTCCCACCTGTTGCACCCAAAGTATCTGTGTCATCAAGTGTGTGCTCTTCTGTGTGCATTGCTTGCATGGCAGGGTCAGCAACATTCTACGTGGTTGGAGGGTTTGGAGAGTCAGACATGAACTCATGGACATTATTCAGTGGGGGTGCCTTTTGCGTAGAAGGTTGTGTGCAGTACATGGGCTCAATGTTGTCCACTCCAACATTGGCTGGCAAGTCCCAACTAAGGTCATCCGGCAATTCGTTAAGGTCAATCATCTCCTGCATAATTGGCAAATAACAAACACACAATTTAGAAGATGGAATCAACTACTGACGAAATAAGTAGGAATAATACATCAACTTCAGGCAACAAAATCAAGTGCCTAGGCACCAACTGAGTGCATTGGAATTTCTAGGCAGCAATGTCTTATTTCATATTTTTTGCATGCACCAATCAATAGAACAGAATCAGAGATGACAAATAAACGTTTTTCTTTTTTTCAGGTGGAGAAATCAGGGTCAGGGGGGAAAGAGGTGCAGATGAATGTTGAGTGGGAGTATTATCAGAAGAATATAAGATGACAATCCCAGCGAATCTGTAGTTTGCAAATGTATTGAAAAGTGTTGATAAATTTCTAGTAGTATAACTACTTAATGACTTGTTTTGTGTTTTTCTTTTCCTCAAATTATGACCAGTTCTGCTTTCTTAATTGGGGTTCTTCACCCCATGTGTTTCAATGTCATGAGCAACCGTCCCACGGTTTTTGTCTCGTTTTTTTCCACTTCTTACACACTTGCAGGCTAATAGGGGGGTCGTGAGCTGGAGCAGCAGAAGGTGGCACCAACCACAAGCTCAAGGTACTGTTATCACAATCTTTGAACATAGCATTTTTCCATCATAGTTGGGCAGCACAAGCACAAGCACAAGGGCACAAACAACTAACACTTTGCTCACCATGCACATTACTTTTCTCTAAGCACATGCATACTTGCCATGAGTAATGTGGCAACAGGTGGCATGCCTGGACAGTCCCGATCTTGCTCATACTGACACATTTTTCTTTAGTTGCTTGCATTGTTGGCAACAGTTGCCTGCTTACCTGACAAACAATTGCTTTTAAACAAAGATGCTAGCAAGAACATGAACCTAGTAGCTTGCATTTTTAACAACATTTGCCCACCAACCTGACATGCTGCCCCCATGTTATTTTTTTGCTTGAAACAGAAACGATAGTTCGAATATTTTTTTTCCTAGTTGCTTACATTTTAAACAACAATTGCCTACCATTGATGCATACTCTTGCTCAAAAAATCCTAAGAAATACATCTATGACGTCTACTTTGCCTTCAAGAATTAGACAACTATCCTGGTTTTTGTACTTTCTGCGTTTGTTGCATACAATGTGCGCCAGATTTGTGTTTGCCCTAATTATGTCGAACTTGTTTGCTCGTGCTTTGCAATACATTTGCCTACTCGTCATAGATCTCGTTGCTTACTTTTTTATCATCTTTCTCCTTCTGTACAGAAGAACAACAGAGCATAGAGAAGAATCATCTTGGACATACAGTAGGGGTAGGGGAGTGGCAGGGGGTTGGGGGTGGAGGTTGTGGGAGATCCACCATGAAGAAATAACAGGGAGAAGGGTAAAACGCACCTTTTTTCAGTTGATCTTTTTCAAAGCTCTAGTGTTTCAGATCCATGGCGATGTGTAGGCAGGAGGTTTCCTTGGGGTAGAAGAAGGGGAGATTTGGGGGAGAAGGTGGAGAGAATGGTTCCTTGGGGGAGAAGGATGGGGCAGAGAGGGAGGAGAACCACGTGATTGCGATGGGAGGGGCAGGTTGGAGGAGAGATGGTGGCCACCAGTCTCGTCCTCCCATCGCGGGTGGGATCGCGCGTGGGGGGGGGGGGACCAGGCGTTTCCTTTTTTGCTGGGGTGGACCAGAACCTTCCAAATCTGGCAGGTTGCCACGGATCCTTACCCAGCAATCAGTTGCTGCCTAGACGCGTCCAAATAAGAATGTGATTTTTATGAAGGTTAATCTCGATGGAGAAAACAGGGGCATCTAAAAATTGTTTTTTCCTTTTTTACCAATAGGGCTGCATATTTTGTAAGCATCTATAAATTCCAATGGATTACTTTTGGCTTGTTGCACGGCATAGGGAGTATATCGAACAGGTGTGTATGATTGATATTAGAGTCATGGTGGCTTGTGTTACAATAAGCAAGCAGGGAAAAAGAATGAATTAGAAATAACAAGCCTCGGTAAAAGTTATTGTTTTGTAGATCATAAACAAAGGCGCCAAAAAATGATTTAAGTGTTGCCAAATGGGTCCTCTTCATGTAATAAGCATGTAATATTGCAGAACTATAATATAGTCTTCTTAAACTAAATTGTGACAAATTCTTACTTTGGCACACTTGAGGTAGTCACCACGAGCATAAATTCTTTCACCATCAAACAGTCTCTTATTATCCATTGGTTTTACGACTCTTATCAAACTGCATTCGCACGACATCTATGTGAGGTTCACACATTCAAAAATATGGTCAACTTGTAATTATATGGTCTGCAATACTGCAAAATCAGATAAATGTTTTGGAATGGCTAAAGAGTAAAGATAACACACAAAAAATAGTGTGTTTGGGCCAACAAAGCAGAAGCACATGATTACTGATTTGGTGTCGGCTTACTTCTTAAAGCACAAAATAGCAGGGCTACACAACCTTGCTTTGAGGAAAGTGAGCATACAGCTACCCATTAAACGCGGTTATGAAGGAAAAAGGACAACCTAACCATAATTGCATAACGAATTATTTTGCAGCAGAAACAACATCATGTTGGCCAACCTGAAAGAAAGGACTCACCTTTAATGAAGATGGAAGCCGAACACACCCACATTATAACAGCACAAGAGAATTTCCAAGAATTTTTGGACTACAAAAATTCATAAAAACTCCATTATGTGGGACAAACTCACATTGGCGAGCTTGGTGAGCAATTACACAGGGACACGATTAAGCAAGCAAACTCAAGACCTGGTTCTAACAATTGCCAACCGTGAAATAATACAATTAGTGAGTGTGAAATATTACATGCTAAGCAAGCAAACTCAAGAAACTGATTCTAACCAGTTAACTGTAGACAAGTAGTCTAGAATTCATGTGACATGTGGGGTTCTCTGAATAACTATAAAAACAGAGGAAAACAATAGAAGGTGGTAAGAAATAATTTTATGTTGCAGAAATTAGAATACTTAATGAAGCATTGGGGCATAAGAATACATAAAGGAGTCAATAGTTAACTCATTAGCAAGATCTGCACTTCAATCCAAAAGTAAGAGCTGTCTATTGCTGATCACTTGCTACACTGATGAAACATTCATCAGAATATTATCACTCACTAACCGGCAAACTGGCACACACAAAACACACATCATGCATGAGGTAATGGCTCTATGGGCATCAACATCACCGATCCATACCTGCGCACGAATTGATGAACAAAGGTGAGAGCACACATGGCTAGTAAAGGTAAGATAATCAATATAATCATAGAGACATGAGATCACATGGATTCAGGTATACAATGGTACCTACGGGTATAGGAAATCAAACAGATTTTGATAGCATAAGTAAATCACAAGAATTAACTTTGTGGATTGTAAGCATGGAATGAAATAACTATACATCTATTTTAGTAAGCACTCGGTAAGGAATCAAGGTTAGGAAATTATCTACTCTAATCTGATTGCGCAAATAAAATTTCCGTCGGCACACACCAGAAGACTTGCGTATGGCAAGTGAATTTCCGCAAGACAGGTAATCATAAGCATAGTTAAAACTAGAACGAAAAGAGTGGATCTGAAACAGAGAAGGTTGCCCCGGGGAGCAAGGCAGAATGTGTAGGAGATCGTGGTCTGCTTCGTTGAAGAAGAAAGCAGATCAAAGACCTAAGAACAAAAAGAATGGTCAACCAAACTGGAAAGAGAATGAGAGAGAGAGATCTGCTGCAACCACTATTTGGGTGTTGCTTAATCATTTTATCTTCTCCGTGTTGTTGTCTTTTGAATCAGAAACTGTTTGAATGTACAAGGATCCAAATGAAAATGCAACTAATACCCAAAGAGGCATTTTGGGAAATTCATTTAATTCCATTGGAACTAAATACTCGAGTAAGGTCTCAAGTTTGAATTTCACTGGAAATTCAAATAAGATCAACCCAAAATAATCAATGCATCCTTTCTTATTTGTTTTCTTTTGAATCGGAGACTGTCGGAAGCTTTTCTGAGTAATGTAGAGGCCCAACCACTTGTTGATGATCCTGTAAGATGTTTGGGAATCCCACAAGAATCAAATGCCTCGGGGATCTCCTCGACTGGACAGTGGGAAACGGGTATATACATTTGTATTTCTCCAGCAATGCCACAACAAAGAGCAATTGTTGTTCTTGGACTAATATGCAAATAAGATCAACATCAAATGCAATGGCCCAAGTCTACTCACGATTAATGTGAAAAGGACAAATAATAAGAATAATGAAAGGACAAGATAATCTCCTTACAACATATGGATACAATAAAGCAAGGATCCTATATCATACTACATATATTTGATGGATTGCGTCCTTTTCAACACCTTTTCATGTAATACAACATGATACATTACAATGTAATTTATTTTATACGTTCATATGAAAGTGATTAAAAAGTAGTTCATTAGCACAAAACAGAACTAAAAATATTGTTCAGTCTCTCAAAAAACTAATCAAATACTTTCCACCTAGGCCCTACCAAAAATTTCACCCTTTGTCAAACGGCTGTCACTCTAAAATTTGAAAAGAAGCTAAAGCACATAACATAAAAGGTTGGTCATCTATTGCAATGCCACAATAGAAATCAAACTCAACTTTCTATTTTCTGCCACACATCGGGTAAGCAATTCACCAAGCACGCACAAAACAAAAAGGGCGAACGTAAATAAAGTCTCATTGTATATACATATTAGCCACATGATACAAGTTCACTGGTAGATCAAGAAAACATCAACAACACACCCTACTGTGAGGAAAAGCTCCCACAGATTGCTGACTATTAGATAACAATTTATTTACAACATGTTAACATGTAAAGTGAATATAATTATAGATCTTGATCTTATAGAACCAAAACCAACAAAGAACATTTCATAGTTATCAGATCAAATTGTTCCTCGGTGAGTATAGACTCACTTCCACTGACATAGAATGTCAATTTATATTGTGGAGTCCACTCATCATAACTTTACCTTGTCTGGATGTGCAAACATTGATTTTTGTTTTAGAGTCCAGTGGATAACAATGCAGGGATATAGAACAAGATTTATTCTTAGAATACAACAAATGGAAGCGACATGGTTAGAACCTAGAACTCCGTTCTTCGGAATCTGCAAATGAAAATTCAGTTGGAAACTGCAGTAGTTCAATGAAAACTATGGACGCCCTTACCCTCCGATTAATTATGTAATGCAACCTCCATTGGGTACACTCAATTATTATAATAACCGTTACCCTCCCGCAGATCGTGATCAGGCACTCGCTGCTTCAGAAAACAAGAGCATATTTAGTAAGGCATATGAAATCACTGCTATAGAATCGGCAAATGACAGTTTAGTTGGAAACTATGGTACCACGATCAAAATTATGGATGCCCTTACCCTACTGCGACTAAGACACACTCAGTTGTCAAAATCAGTCACCCTCCAGCATATCATGATTAGGTACAAAAGCATATTTTCTCAAGAAACCACATATCGACATAATTATAAGAAAGAGGAATCAATAGAGTAGCAGATAAGGTGCCAACCTCGCCAAATTTAGTCACTGTATTAGCTTGAATATGAATTCCAACTGGCTCCATATCATTGACCTTGCAGGAAGCAACATAAATGCACTGAACAGTTGCAAATTCAGAGTTAAGAGTGTTTTCATGACGGAAAATATGGTTGTGACTGAAGATGGTAAAAAAATGGTAAACTAATCTATCTTCGCCTTCCAGTTTGTAGGAACTAAGATCATACACAAACCTGTATACAGTACCAATGTAACTTGTCAAGGGGTAAAAATCAAACTGCTATTCTCCAGAGTTGAACTGAACTAAATACAAAATAAGGCATTGCAACGAACTTGTGGTGGAAAACCTACACATTAATTCATCTTGGCAAAAGAAAGTAGTCGAGGGAAAAATAATAAAATTATGACTAATACGTCACAATGCTTGATTGGAGTTTAACCCGAAAAAGAAAACAAGCTAGGAAGATCATAGATGCACCATAAGAATTCCAAACAAGCACTGCAAATAACCATGGGTGTTCAAGAGAGAGAGGGGGAAGAGAGACATAGGCTTCACCTTGTTCTTCTTTACCTAAATATTCCTCAATATTCTTTCTTTGCTCCTTTTCGTCGGATTTGCAAACAACTGGGAAAACACAACAGCTGTTCGGTCGAACTGTGTCTTCCTGAGCAGACCTCGACTGCGCGAACTAACAACAATGTTGTACTACGTTCACATGGTCCACTTCTCTCCTTTGTAGTCCATGCCATAAAAACTGATCCTTCCACTGTAGATGCCAGAGTAATTAAATTATAATTTTTCATTTCTATTCCCTGACAAAAGTGTAACAGAACAGCTATGTTTGGTAAGCAGTATCATATACTTCGTCTAAAAAAGGGTATAACATATAGAGGCGCATATATCGAATGAATATGAGTGTGTAAGATATTATACAGCGTCGCAAAGAGTGTCGATAGCATTGTCAATTTTGCCGAGGTCCATGATCAGCTCATCAAGAACATTTAGTATGCTATTTTCTGTACAATCCATTGCTACTCTGCATGCACACGCACATGTGGTTTTAGATATTGGAGGAATGACATTGTTCTTCCATGCAAGTTATGTTGATCACAGAACCAAATTTTAGGACAAGAATAGAAGCTAGCTAGTCAGTACTTTCAGTAGTATCATTCATTTATTTATTTTCCTTGTTGAGGAAAACCTGTTTTTCTTTCTTTAGAAAACAATCTACAAGACAGGGAACAAAGAAATCTTCTGAACCAAACCTGGCTAGACTGTGGTGGTGCTCGCGTGTGTGGTAATTTAGAAATGAAAACAAGCTAGGAAGATCATAGATGCACCATAAGAAGAAACAAGCATTGCAAACAACCATGGCTGTACATGAGAGAGAGGGGGAAGAGAGAGAGAGAGAGAGAGAGTTCACCTTGTTCTTCTTCACCAAAACTCTTCCTCAATATTCTTCCTTTTCTCTTCTTTGTCGGATTTGCACACAAGTGGGAGAAACCCATAAATTGATGTATAAAAATCAGATTATTGGTAAAAGGGGAAGATGTACTATTAAAAAAAGAATTAATTCCCCTTAAACAAAAATGCCATCCTAGGATAAGAAAGAACAAAACCAACTAACATGTCTAGCAATCTAGAAACAGGGAGTCAGGGGAATAGTTGATATGTGAGCATGAGTTGGTAAGGAGTGGTAAAAAGCAAAATAAATAAGGGCACGTACAGACTAATTTCTTCTTGTATCTATCTTTCCCTTAAACAAATGCGGTTCAGAGATGACCTTGGCTCGTTGGAGCTCCGAAGCAGCCATGAACTCACAGCCATCGGCAGCAGATGAGGCGGAGGAGGTCGCCAAAGGAGAGGGGGCACCATATCCACAGAACACCACCCTCGTTGGACGTGCCCGCCCCATGCTGCAAGCCACCAGCCCACCACCCACCCTCGTATCCCTTCTCCTCGATCTCCC